GATATGAGTAAATGTAATCCTTGCTCACTTGAAAGTATAAGGAAAAAAAGAAAAAAAAAAAAAACCCAAACCACCAGGGCTGCTGGACACTGAGGCACTCACGTTTAATCCAGCACTTGGGATGCTGAGGTAGGCAGATCTCTGTGAGTCTTAGGCCAGCCTGGTCTACATAGGGAGTTCTAGGCCAGCAAGGTCTACATAATGAGATTCTGTCTCAAAAACAAAAAACAAACAAACAAAAAAAACCACCCTTGGGATGTTTTGTACAAATAATACCCAAACCCCTCTTCAAGTCCTTGATCAGTGGATTCTAGCCATCCACAAAATAATTGTAGCTTTATTAGAAGTTTCTGAGTGCTACCAATAGACTAGTGTACACTGAGAGAGCCTTCAAATCAACAAGAATCTCAAAATAAAACAAAACAATAATAATAATAATAATAAAAATATCTTGACCAGATTTATTGACACATTTTGATTGGTTCTTTTTATTTCCTACAAATAAACAATTCCTAAAAAAATGAAAAAGAGAAGAAAAAAGAACTGAAAAAGGAACTGTTGAGAGCAGATGCCATGTAATAGACAGGCTTTCCTAACATACAGCACAGAAGATGGCTGAAAGCTAGTGCTGGCCCATCACTCACAACATACCAGCAAGAGATACAGGGATTTCTCAGCATGCTGCATGATGCCGTCCCCTGGGTACAAACGAAGTATTATTTTCTCAGTGGAATTTTTGTTATGGTGTGCTTTTGTTTCCTGTAATATAAGCGTTGGTTAGGACTTTTTTTTTGGCTCCAACTGGTAACCTTTTTTTGGTGTGTGTATGTGTACATGCTCATATGTATGTATACGTGTGTGCACATGTGAATGTGGATTCATAGCACTATGTGCTCATGTGTGTAGAGGCTAGAGACCAAAGTCAGATGTCTTCCTGAATCACCTCTCCACCTTAATTCTTGAGACAGGGTCTCTCGATGAATGTGGAACTCCTCTATTGACTAGATTTTCTGGCCAGTATCCCCCAGGAATCCTCCAGTTTTAAGGTTATATTCCTATACCGTACCTGGCTTTTAATGTGGGTATTGAGGATCCAAACTCAGGTCCCTATGCTTATGAGGCAAGACTTTACTGACTGAGCTAGCTCCCCAAGCTTCCTCACGGGATATCAATTATTTGATTCAAAATTGTAATTTGGGGGATGGAGAGACGGCTCAGCAGTTAGAGTCAGATGATTCTTCCAGAGGAACTGGGTTTCATTCCCAGCAACCAATTAGGAGACTCAGCCACTTGACTCCAGTACCAAGGGATGAGACGCCCTCTTCTGGTCTCCATGGGCACCTGCACTCATGTACAGGTACCCATATATGAATATACATAACTAAAAAAGGAAAATAAATCTATTCTAAAAATTCTAATTTTCAAAGTCCAATCCAGTTTATTTAGATATCTTTTGGTGCTGGTTTGTGAAAAGGTTTAAGTTATGGGCATTTATGTCTGAGGGTTAATTGCCCCATGGAGCCACCCCTCTCCTTCCAAACCTTGCTCCTACACTCAGCTGTCTTCTCATAGGGAGGTGCCTCAATTAGTAGAAATATCAGCAACTATAACTAAGAATTATCATTTCTTAAAACAGCAAAGGCCTCATTTTTCTATAAGCCTCCTTTTTAATGAAAACCTTCTCCATCCGCCTCAGGCACCCTTTTATGGTACACTTGGTGAGTTGAATAAAAAATACCTGTTAAAGGAAAGATGCTTCCCATCAAAACTGTTGAAATATGATTTCATTTCAGATTCGAGAACTAATGTTGTTTTTTGTTTAAATAGATTTTGCCTGTCAATTTGCAGACCTGCTGTGCCATCCGCCTGTAAGGGCTGCTGTGGTCAACACGGGGGTTGTAGCAGCAAATTTTATTATGGACTGGTAATTGAATTGAACAGGTTTACATTTGAATAGATTTACTACATCATGATCTCTGACACACTGCACGGGACTCAAATCCCTACACATCCATAAAGATACGTTTAAGACAGTATCATTCTCTCCAGGCTTAGGGAGCAAGTCTTGAGCCAGAGAGATGCCCAAGCATAATTGTGCATTTATATGCAGTGTGCAAGGTAATATCTCACTGTATTTTTAGGCATTAAGGCAAAGAAACAATATTCCAGATTTCTTCATCCCTTCTTTCAGAGTGTAAGGTGATGGGGCTTAGAGAAATGATATTGTGCCATCCAAGTGGTCGTAAGTAAGTAAAAAGAAAATAAATCATTATTTGAGTGTGGCAGCAACAATAGCAATTCCTGTGAAAGCAGATCTTCTAAGGCTTCGGTAACAGCTACTGAAGAGGTGTGAATCGCACTTAAGCCTGATTTACTCTGAGCAACAACGTTTAATTAAAAACACCTCACACCTGTTTCTCCACTCTAGCTACCCTTCAGGATGGCTCCTGTTAGAAACTACCAGAAAATGATGTACGGGAAATATTTCTCCTTGTTCATCTTTAAAGTCGAAACCGCAGTCAACTGAGTGGACAGCCTTGAAATCAAACTCATAAAAAAAAAAAACCTCTTCCCCTAGAAATGGAGGCATGTGTCTCTCTAGGTCCTTCCGTGTTTGAGAATAAAATCTGAATACAGGGTATATTCACACAGGCATTCCTTGATAGATTACTTTCTAAATGTAATGATTTGTCAAATTTCAGGGGTTTGAAAACTGTCATTAACCTTTCTGAGCACAAATTTAGCATAAATCTTCAGAGTAAATGGTAACATTAATATCAGACCCAAACCCAACTGTCCACCACTTATCATAACATTGAAGATAACTGCTTTTTGGTGGGGGGGGGTTGGAAAGGGGTAGGACCCTGTAAGTTACTTTTGGTACACTACTCTGCCAGAGGGTTAAGGCACTGACTAAAACAAAGCTTACTACCTCAAAACAGTAAGTCATCACCATCAGAACAAAAGGAAATCTTTCTGTCCATGAGTAGGTAGCTTTTGCTTTACATGTATGTGTTTACCTTTGTCAAAAATGCCCCTTGGGCATTTTCATATAAATGTTTACAACCTAGAACAATCAAGGAGCTTGTGCATTACAGGAGCCTTAGAACAGTGTTAAGTCCATGAGAAGATGTGATGCATATTTGAGGGATTCAAACCTAAAGGAGGCGACCAGAGAGTGTAACGGCGCCGGTGCCCAAAGCGGGATAATGAAAAGCAGGCCTTGCGCTCCTGTTTATTCACCTGTGTAACTTTGTTGCTAACCTTCATGAGTCCTCCTTCCTCTTCTTTACGTCTGCAACCCCCGGGTGTGGGATAACGTCACCCACGAGTCCTCCTCCGGCAGGATCTCTCCCATACTCTTACATACAGAGTTGGGTATAGATGATACGGGTGTCGATACAATGTGCATATAATTACATTTTTCCACACAACAATATATCTTGGTCACCTTCTTATAACACTCTAAAATTGTAAGTTTGCTCACAGCTGTTTTTCAAGGGAAAAGCAAAATCGAAGTTGAGAAATCTCTGAAAGGGTCTTATTTCTTCCTAGTAGATAAATAAGGATAAGATAAATAGGGGAGGGATTTACGTGCCTGAATATAATCTGTTCCACTCATTCTCCTCCGACATCATATGCAGAAAATGGAAAAGAAGCCTTGGAAAAGGAGGTGGGGCCGGAGAGATGGGTCACGGGTTAAGAGCACTGGCTGCTCTTGTAGAGGACCCAGGTTCAGTTCCTAGCACCAGCATGGTTGGCTAACAACCACTGGAACTCCAGTTCCAGGGGATCTGACACCCTCTTCTGTCCTCTGTGGGCATTGCACAACATCAGTGCACTTACATACATGTGGGCAAAACACTGACATACATAAAATAAAAACAAGTAGTTTTAAAGCCTTGGAAAAGGAAAAAAAGAAAACAGGTACAATTATTCAATTCTAATAACATCACATTCAACTGACACTCTAGTTCAATTAGTGAGTTAGCATTCATATATATGCGAACTTAGAAATTGAAATGGTGAGGGACCAGGGATCTGCCGTGATCATATATAAATTTCTAAGGAGCCAACCGAGTTTCCTGATGGAGAAGTTATGCATTTCTATATTTAATTAACCTAATTTAAATCTCAAACTTTCGTTACCACATTTTGAATGTGTCCCTTTATAAAAGCATCATATTCATTTTAAACTCTGATAGGCTTTCTGAGTAGAAAGAAACAGATAAGTCTACATGCAATATGTAAAATACACATCCACAAAACACATGCATGTACAGGGACTCACTTTAAAAATTCCTACAGTAGGTCTCAGAGAAAAGTAGAAATTTTATTTTATCTCCAAGATGAAATGTCAGTTTTGCTACATCTGCTGAAACAAACAAGCATCTCAGGACCTGTGAACTGGGAGGAATAGCTGATTGTCATCCATAGCTCATGGGTTCTCTTCCTGGCTACCACAGGTAAGTGTGGAAGCTTAGCCAGGATGCTTGGCAGAAATTCCACATTCGCTGATATTTCGTGTTTGCTGTTGGCCCCAAGTGAAACCAAAGAGGAAGCAGTTATTGCATCACACCACGAGTACTTCTTTAGAATAGAAGTCCTAAAGATACAGTTGGAAAAGAATAGCTTAAATTTGAAGATAATTTAAAGAAAATGAGAGACAGGTATATTTGTGCATACAGGAATGAAAATAAAAGCAGAAAGCTATTGTGGAAAGTTACTGGACCTGTCGCGTTTTTTTTCCCTTCTGTAAACTGTAAAGATCAAGCACACCTGGAGGGTTCTGCAGCACATCAGAGTCCTACCTTGTCCCTTAGGGTTGATGTCAGGCTGCTAGCCAGGAGGGACTAGATAGCTCAGAAGTAAAGAGATTCAGGGTACTGACTGTCCCCTCATCTTCTCCTGGTTTCTTTCGACTAGGCATCTTTTCCTGTCCTGCCAAAGCCTCCCGCACAAACCCCCACACCGAGGCACCAAGCCATTTAGAGTCTTACCTTCTTTCAGCATGCCCACTTTGAGACACTTCATGAAGCGGCAAGCCTGGCAAGATTTGCGTCTACGCTTTGTGATTTCACATTCATTTGTGGCCGGGCAGCTGTATTCTATGTTACCTAAAACACAGGAGAGAGGCTGTCAGACTGGCAGGCCCAGAGAGATATTAGCAACCCAGAGAAAATGTTAGCTCCGCTACCTCCCACTCCAAAGTTGCATGGGAATCATCAGGAATGGGACAGGTGTCAGAGACAAACACCAAGCCATGGAAAGAAGCTCTGCAAAGGGTTAAATTGAGCTGGGCAATGTGGTTGACACCAGTAATCCCAGTACTCAGGAGCCAGAGGCAGAAGGATTGCCACAAGCCTCAGGCACCTCAGTCTACACTGCAAGTTCCAGGCTAACCAAAGCTATATAGGGAACCCTGTTTGTAAAACTAATAAATTTAATAACAGTCTTTTGTGATCATAATCTACTTCGAAAGTTCTTTTGCATGGGAAATTCTAGAAGACTGTTACTACATGTGGGGTTGGGGAGACAAAGAACCACGGAGCAAAGCTGATCCATACAAAGTAGTCTTCCAGAACCCCAGGACCTTGAAGAGATTCCAAGGCAGGATATGCTCATAAAAACAAAAGTATTAAACCAGCATTTTTGAGTTGTCAATCCTGGGTGTCTTTTGTTATGTGCTACAAGCTGATTGTCTTTCTGACACTAAACGGCAGAAACCTCACAGTGCCAGTGATCATCAATTTAATGTGGGGCGTTTTTTTTAATCTCATTGAGTGCAGGGGCAGAAACGTCACAGTTCTACACAAGTCTGGCCAGGCAGTCTCTTGAGATGATTCGATTCTGCTCCCGGATGGTGCTGAGGGTAAGGGTGGTGGTGATAATGGTTGTCCTCATCATTAGCATCTTCATGATGCTTCTTAAAGTATTTGCATAATTAATTCATAACACCATGAAAGTGTGATAAGAACAAACTACTCAGGTTATATTTTTAATAGTAGACTCTGCATCATGTTTAGTACATACCTATCTGAAATGAGAAAACATGTAATCAGAAGATCTAAACTTCCAGTATTTGTCAGAGACAATGCAAGTGTGTGAGATGCACTCTGGGCTGTGACAGGCTTGTAAAGTAGCAGCCTTGGAAATAAAGGCTCTCTCCACTATCAGCTCTGGCAGAGTGCTTGGAGGTCCTCGGCTACCTCCTAACCCTTTCCCCTTGTGATTAAGTGCATTAGTACCCTAATGAAAATGCATTCTGCTTATTGGCCTCTTGGGATGGGGGAGGTCATCACACCAAATGCATAAATTGTCATCAGAGACGGTCCAGGCATAATTGCAATTTTGCTGTTCCATGCTAGCAGTACTCAGGGTCCATCCGAGTCCCCTGAAACATGTGCAGATTTGAGTAATTAGCATAGAAGGCTGCCTGAAACCACGGCATAGATGAAATATTTCAGAGTTAATCACACTTTGTAAACACTGATTTATATTGACTACCTTTCTGCAGACTGATGTCCCCTCATTAAATATCACATTAGTGGATTGGAGGATTGCTCAGAGTCTGGACTACTCAGCAATTGCTAATTCACCAGGAAGTGATACCTAGCCACTTGGAACTACAGAAAATTGGTTAAGTATGCATGACTTTTTCAAAAAACTCTTGAGCATTGTAACTGGGGGTAAATTGACTAAATTAGCATTCTAATTCAAAGCAACTACTTTTAAAAGAGGTTAGATAATAGAAGTAATATTAACTGCATTAATAGAAATAGTCACCATCACCTTCACCAGAAATATTACTCAGGGGCCTGGGGGATGCCTCATCAGGGAAAGTGCTCGCTGCACAAACTTGAAGACCTGAGTTCAATCCCCAGGATCCATGTAAAGTGGTCGGAGCAAATCGATTCCACAAAATTGTCTTCCAACTTCTACACATGAGCCCCAGCATTCACCCCCTTCATAATAATGAATAGACAATTTTTAGAAAAAGAAATATTACTCAGATAAAGGGTGAGGGAGAGGGCTCAGCAGGTAAAAGTCCTTTTCATGCAAACCTGACAACCTGAGTTTGATCCCCACATGCCACAGCGGAACAAGAGAACTGACTCTTGAAAGTTGTGCACCAGGACAGACAGGGTACACAAGGAGCTTCACACACACACACACACACACACACACACACACACACACACACACAATTTAATAAGGTAAAACAAAGCAAAGGAAAGGTAAGTGATCCACACTGGGTTGGTCAGAGCTGAGGATAAAGACAGTTTGAATCTGAAGTTTCTTTAAACTGTCCCTAGAGATCTATTCTGTAGGAGAAGAATATATAAAAAGAATATTTTTCTTTCTTTCTTTCTTTTCTTTCTTTCTTTCTTTCTTTCTTTCTTTTGGGGGGTGGGGTGGTGTGGGGGGGGTACTGTGGATTGAAACCCAGGCCTCACATAGGTATGTTAGGCAAGTGTTGAGCCTCATCCCCAGAGCCCTATTTCTAAATCTTGAACTTTCTTTTGAAACAAGATCTCACTAAGTTGTCCAGGCGGCCTTAAACTCACACTCCTGCCTTGGTCTCCTGAGCAGCTAGAATTCCAAATGTGCACCACTAGGACCGAATGCTGTAACTTAGGACCCGTTACCAGATCCTTAGGTTCCGTATGATATTCTCCATATGAATTTAAAAAAGAAATTCTGACGTTTCCGTCTCTATGGTAGATTTCAAAGACAAGAAGGTAATGCTTGCCAAACATCCTTTCTTTCACTTTGTGCCTGAGCAGTATAGAACAAGTCAATATGCCCCATTGCATACCAAGGTGGGAGCTCAGGCCCAGGTCTTCAACTCTGTGTTGAACACTGCTGCTGGATGACCCGCCACCACACACAACTCTGATCATTTTTCCCTCTTTAGAAATTATGTCTTCATCCTTCATAGCAAGACACTCACAACACATACCTCTGTCAGGCAGGAGTGAGTTCAGATCCATACCTGTATAGCTATCATTCGTGAGCACTGGCCTCCATCTGCCCACCTTACCCCAGGACGTGCACCACAGGTACACTCTTCCTATGACTGCTTTGATCATGCCTTTACCCTAATTAAAAAAAAAAAAAAATAGGCTGGGCACAGTGGTTCACACCTGGAAATCCTGGAACTTGGGAGGCTGAGACAGGATTGCCGTGAGTTGTAAGCCAGCTTGGACTGCAGAGACCCTGTCTCAAGAAAAAATTTATACAAATAAAATAAAATAGAACACTTGATTACATGTGAAAGGTCTTCTATTTGACCCCAACATGACACATACATACACATGTGTACACAAATACATGTACTCATATACACACATATACAATACATGTATATACATACACATACATGTACATACACACAGGATGATTATGCCTTCTGAATTAAATCTAAACTATCAGAACGCCCAACAAGGGCCTCTCTCATCTAACGCTTACCTACTTTTCCAGCAATATTGAAGTTATTACCTTAGATGAACTTTCCAATGCAGACAATTTGATTTATTCAATTTTGCTGCATGTCCTTCAAGACTCCCTCTGAGAATGATCTATTTCTTCCCCTTTTCTTCTTAAAATTATTTCCAAGACTCAGTGTTCAACTCCAATTCCATTCCAATCATTTATGAAAACCTCTTAGACTATTTGGCAGAAAATGACTTCTGGGACACCTATCTTTCTGAGGTTCTCTCATCTTGAACAGACAGGTCATATTTTGGTCATATTTTGTATATGCATGCTATTCATTAGACACGAAGACACTGGAGGACAGGAGTTACATCTTACAAAGTATAAAAACCTTCAACCAAAGTCTGGGCTGATAGCTTAGGTGGTAAGGTGCCTTGCAAGCATTAAGAACTGAGTCAAACCCCCAGAACCAACATTTATTTATTTATTTATTTATTTATTTATTTATTTATTTTTAAATATTTTATTTATTATTTTAGTTTTATGTGTATGTACTGTCTGCATGTATGTGAGTGCACCCGTGTCGTGCAATGCTGTGGAGGTCAGAAGAGGGCTTCAGATTCCCCTGAAACTGGAGTTAAGGATGGTTCGTAGCCACCGTGTGGGTGCTGGGACTCGAACCTGGGTCCTCTGCAAGAGCAGTCAGTGCCCTTAACCACTGAGCCATCTCTCCAGCCCCCCCACATTTATTTTTAAAAGTGGGAAAGGTGAGTGTGGTAGTGGTCTAGGCTTATAATTCCAGTCTAAGGAATAATACCCTAGGTTGGTCACTTTTCTCCACATGAACATGTACACACATGCAGGAGCTTGTGTGTGCATGCATGCACACACACACACACACACACATCTCTGCACACACAGGCATTCACATGCATATACACCCTCACAGAGATTATACTTAGAAAACCCAGTGGCTTCTTCATACATGCTAAATGTTTGAACTACGCTCTGAAAAATGGTTAATTAATGACATCAGGATGAAGGAAAATCTCCCCAAAGCTACAGTAAATGCAAGGATCTCTGTATAGCACTTTCATTATGATGGGGTTGGGAGCACAGCTCAGTTGGTAGAATACTCACTCTAGTATGTAAGAAGCTGTAGATTCAATCCCTAGCACCACAAATAAACCAGTCAATAACCCCCAACCCCAGCACTCTGGAGGTGGACACAGGAGGATCAGAAGTTTTAAGCCAGCCTGGGATAAATGAGTCTCTGTCAAAAAGGAAATGTGTTTTCCACACATATTTCATCCCTGAGATATATACTCATTTTCAATTTCAGTGAATAGAAGTTTCTTGTGATAACAGGTGTTCCTTACAACATTGTTTTAATAAAGTTTTGTTACATAAAGATGGTAACCTTGATTTCATTAAGTAACTCCAGTGTACAGTTGGAAAAACAAATCAGCATTATTCTAACTGTGTTATTTGTGAGAACAAAAACCTGGTTCCCAAGGCCTCCCACGGAGTTACTTAGCTCATTGTTGCTGTCTATCGTCACCCGCCCATCAGCATCTTTGATCCAGATTGCAGACTGTGGAGATTTTGCCCTTGAAACACCTTTCCCTGTTGTTTTTACTCGTCAATTAAAAAGGCATTTTATATTAAAAATGTGTCA